GCGTATCCGTTTGTCTTAGCAATTTCTTCCGCTAAAGTTAGCGAGTGAAAATGCTCCCGAATATCCGACGAAGCCTTCGCCGCTGTGCAGCGCATGTCTTAACAATAGATTTCTTAACATTGCTTGATGCGCGGATAGGAAATGGACTAAGATATTCTTGCAGTTAGGTTTGCGATACCATCTGGTTCCATATTCCCCACCGTGTAGGCAGATTTGAACATTGAAGAATGCTAGCCATCGCCCGTTAGGATTTTGCGCGTAAACATGATACTAGAGAATTGTTGATTGAGGACTTCCAAGCATCCATGTCAACTTGAGTTGCACATATAATGCAGCACTCATCTATGTAACGGCAATACAGCAATGGCTTTCTTGTAAGCACGGGCACCTCTACTTTGGACTTAAATACGATGGCTAGGGTTGGAGCTAAGCGTTGTCCCATTCCTAAACCTCTGACCTGCTTGTAGTAATTTAACTATCTATCTTCACCATTCCACAGTTCACCTGTATCGTAACCTACAGTATGACTTCTATTTTCGCGATTGCAATGCCAACTAACAGCATTAAGCCACTTTTTATGACTTTATTCAACTTATTATCTACATGCCGTATCTTCGTCTAACTCCCTACGGATACGGCATAAATACACCTTAAAAGCCTAAATACAGATTTAGCGATATTAAAGGCCCTGGGATGAAAACTGCCATTGTCTAGGTTGCTTAAGTTCTTTTAAACCTTTATTTCTAAATTAATTTAACTACGTCGGTTCTGAATCACGAAAAGTATCCTGTAGACTAAGGATACTTCCAATATATAGGTAGTGCAACTTTACTGGGGATTTTTGCGATTTTGAAAATTCCGCACGATCTCATAATCCAGATCTTTGATTTGCTTGCTAGCGTGTATGTCGCGTGTAAGGAGTCTGTAACTTTCTGTCTTGCCGAACCGTTTCTCATTTGAAGGTAGTGAGTCAGGCGTGCTAAAACTGAGTGTGTGACGATATCGTGCCAGGTCAACATTACAATCCATGTCCGCTGCAGCAATGCGTGACGCATGGTTTACCTACTCTGGAATGGCTTGGAGTACTGAGCGGTTGTATTTCGATAAACATTTCAATAAAATCAAAGGGACGTGCGCAGTATACAACTTGTGAAACTCGAAAATTTGGTGTTTTGGCTCAATTCATCATACGAGATGTCAACTCAAACCATCTAATTCTTCTTAGGAGAGAACTTTAAAAGCCAAGACGATGGCATGCTTGTGTTAACAAATTTTAAAAAATCAGGTATGGCAGTAATTCAAACGAAACTCCGAGTTGATCGTAAGTTAGTCATTTGAAATGAGGACCTAACTGCAAATTAACTACCAGTTATAGATAGAACTGGTTGCAAA